ACTTCGGTCCACCAACACCGTCTTGCTTGACTTGTGATTTGGGGGAACCTTCTGTTAGTCGCAATCACAACTTGCGACACGAGTACTGAACATTGAGGGACTCCGCTCTTGATGACTGTCAGTCTTGACTGTTGTCGTCCTACACACACAGTTTGGGAACGGCCAGCCAGGAAATTCTCAATCCACGTAAGAAGTCTACTTCCGATACCCATCAATCTGAACTTGTGCAGGAGACCTTGGTGTGGAGCACTGTCAAAGGCCTTCCTGAAATCAATGTAGGCCGCATGCACGGTTTTTTTGCATCAATTGCCCTTGTCCAGCTTTGCATCTTGTAAAGCAAGTGTATAACACATGGCCTACCCCAACGTAAGCCATATTGGGCATTCGACAAAATATTGTGATTTTCACATTATATCGTCATTATATCATGTGTTGGTGCTCCCGGCACAGTTTCACCAGTCTCTCTGCCATGGATTCATAAGTGACCGCCCAGGCCGATGCGTAAGTTGAATGTGCGATTGACCTGATTAAGCTCGAGCCCTCAGTGCTAGTAGAGGGGTCAGGCGTACTGAGAGTTAGAGATGTGGTGTCCATGGCAGTCGGTGTTTTGTACAGTGGGAGGGTCGCAGTAGAGACGATGGTGCCGGCGAGTGAGGGCAGCGGGACATCGGGTAGTTGAACTTCCGTGATAAGGGTGGTCGTCGACGAAGAGCTGGATACAAAACGGACTGCTGAATTTATTGACATCGTAGAAGTGGAGCCGTCGGACGGATATTGCACTGCGTCCGCCGGGGACCGACCAAACCAATACGTGCCCAGAAGGTGCGTTAACAGCTTGAGTAGGTTGAAAGCACTTGGGCATTGGCAGCGTACGTCCGTTGAATTTGGGAGTTGCAAGCTGTCCTTTCCGCCTTGGCGACGGCTGTCGGACTGACTTCGAAAATAGCTGCGTCAGTTTTAACTATTCATCGACAAGTATATCGGTCCTGCGCGAGTTCTCCCAAGTGGTTGTGTTGATTTTAAGACGCTTCAGGGAGTTCTTCGGAATGTCCTAGTAGCGCCTCTTTTTTCCATCTTTGGGGCGAGCCCCCACAACGATATCACCGCAAACCGGTCGCTTGGGTAGTCGTTGATCGTCCATCTTTACCGGGCGCCCGCTCCAGCGCAGTTGCATCTGTCTCGGGATAGACTGGATAGTAAGAATTTTTATTCTCCCAATGAATTTGGTGTCTGGGATCCTGTTTTGCAATCTCAACTTTAATATTCGGCGGAGAAAACTGAGATAGAAGTGATTCAGCCTCCGTGTTTGATTGGCGTAGACGGTCCAAGTCTCCGCTCCGTACAGATATGTCGTGAGGACGACGAACTTGTACCTTTTCAGGTGTTTGGGCAGCTGAAAGCCATGATGGTTCCACACGGAGACTTGAAGCCGGCCGAAGGCATTGTTTGCTTTATAGATCCGGCAAACAACCTCTTTGCCGATTCTGGTGTTGCGGGGTGGCGTGTTGCCAAGAGAGGTGAAGTTGTCCACGTTTTTGCGTCCGACGCCTTTGGCGTTGATAAGCGGAGCCTTGTAATCAACACTGGGCTGTGGTGTATGCAGGACCACCGTCTTGTCCATGTTGATGGTGAGGCCGTAGTTCGCGCAACTGACGGCGACACATTCCATACTTCTTTGCACATCCACTTCGGTTGTGGTTTTGAGAGCGCCGTCAACCGAAAACCGCAGTTCATGAACTGTGATCGTGGAGACGCGGGTGGAAGCACGCATGCGTAGATGTTGAGAAGGTGCCCGTCCGTTCTATAGTTGACGTGTATCCTTGGGCGTTCGTCACGGTAGGCATCCATCAGCATAATAGGGAACGAAAGGTAAGAGGGTAAAGGTGAGGGCACAGCCCTGTTTCAATCCATTGGACATTGCGAAAGCTTAGGAAACCGCCCCGTTATTCGTGACGCGCGCCACCATCCCATCGTGTAGCTGACGTACAATGTTAGTGACGTGCTCAGGATAGCGAAACTTCACTATGGCTTTTCACAGTCCAGCGCGATTCGCCATGTCAGATGCTTTCGTCAGTTCAACGAAAATAGTATAGAAGTGGGTGCGCATCTTCCAGCTGTCGTGCGGCAAAAATCATGTCGGTGGTGCCGAAATGGCGACGAAAACCACACTGACTTTCTGATAGTACTCCTTTTTCCAAGTGGTTGTTGAGACGGTTCAGAAGAATACGAGGTAAGATTTTGCCGGTGATACTGAACAGCGAAATTCCACGATGACTGTTACAGAGTAAGTGGTCCCTCTTTCACATGTAGAGGTGTACAATCATGGCGTCCTTGAAGTCCTGGGGACTTAACCTTATCGTCACATCTCCTGGAAGAGAGTGGACAGGAGGGATTTAAATTGGTGACTGCCGTATTTGTAAATCTCCACAGGGCTCCCATCGTATCCGGGCGCATTTCTGCCAGAGCTTTGCTGCACAACCTTGATGGTTTCCTATCGGGGGAGGGGGGGTGAAAGGTCGAAGTCAGCGTTGATTTCGACCTGAGGCATGCGGTCGATGGCGGCCTCGGAGATGGTGAAGGGGCGATTAAGTACGCTTTCAAAGTGTTAAGTCCAGCGTTTCAGAATTTGAGCCTTCTCATTGAGTAAGGTAGTTCCGTCAGTGCTGAGAAGAGGAGCTGCGCCTTTGACTGTAGGACCGTAGACAGCCTTGATCGCAGCGAAGAAGTTATTCCATCCATTGCAGTCCGCGTAGCCTTGGATTTCCACGCTCTTACGAACCATCCAAACATCCTGCATTTCCCGAAGCCGCTGTTGTACAAAATGGTGACTTTTGTAGAGGGTTGCTTTGGTGGCGCCGGTAGAGTGATCAACGTAGGCTTTATGCATTTGGTTGGAATTTGGAATTTTAATATTTTTCAGCGCCGGTACGGCACTATCTGTACAAAGTTAATTTCGAAAAAGTAAAAATTCAAAAAAGAATTTGACAATATGTGTAAATAGGCGTAAAAAGTCGTAATAATGTCAGCAGAAATTGTCCTTTTGAGGCAACATTGAGCAATTTTTTGCAGGTAATTTTGAACTTAAAAACTAAAACTTACGGCGATTAAAAAACTCTTACAGTGAAAATGGAGGCAGAATTCAACGGGCCTCCATGTTC